TAACTCTGTTTTCAACAACACATGTGCTGGAGATAACAAATGATTTTCCTTGAAGCAGGCAATATCTTGGTGACACATATCTTAAAGCACTGTATTATTGTATCAGATGATAACTTCTTCACCTCTTACTGTTTTGATGCAGAATGCAAGACAACCATGGACCTAATTTCGCTGTGCACACATTGTAAGAAAGATGGTAAAGAACTGTACATCAACTAGAGTTCCAAATTGCAAAATAATTATAGTTATAATGTGGAGGAGGGGAAAATGTGGCTTAGAAGGAAACCACACTGAATTCTCCCAGTGCTTGGAGTCAGCTGAATTAGTTCAAAAATATATCTGAACAACATAATTGCTGGTTGAACTGAACATGAATTATGTTTCTTTTGGGGTAGACTTTTGAGCAATTCCTAGTTCATCTGACCTTGTGGCAGCCATTTTGTATAAGGCCACAATATGTGGTGGTCATTGAATGTGCTGCAGGGCCTCAAAAAGTTAGCAACCACTGGTCTGCTATGTGCATTCTGAGTGGTGAACAAGAAACAAAATAGCGTTTCATTTCTCCGTTTCCTTTCATTACTGAAATGTTCACTTGTTTCATGTTTCATTTAATATGATCACATTCATTTATTTTAGTTCCTATTCATTAGCTTATCATCTGTTTTAATTATTCCCGTTTATTTTAGTTTCCATGAGAGAGCCACCTGTTCTTCTGTTGCCTGTAATTTTTATAGGCTGGATCCAGATTCTTCCCCCTGGTGGTGGCATCCTCTGAGTCAAGTTCTACTCAAGATATTCCCATTGGTGGAACACTCTTTCGTGTGTGTGTGTGCGCGCACACACACACACACACACACAGACGTGCAATGGTGCGCAGTGCTATGGGAAATTCAACAACAACAATATATACTCCCATTCTGCCAGTGAGAATTTTCCATTCAATTAGAAGTCTTTCTACTTGCAGGATGCAAAGTCTTGGCCCAACACTATGGTTCTTAATCCAATTGAATGGCAACGTTCATTGGGTCATAGGGCTAGAAGGCACCACAAACACCATCTTGTCCCAACTCCTGCTGATACTGGAAATCCATTACTACAGCATCCCACAGAGTTGGCCATCTAACCTTTGCTTTAAAACATTTAGCAGTAAACAAGCTTGCTTTTAAGAATCTCTTCTCTAGGCTAAACATACTAAGTGCTTCAACCTTTCCTCATAGAACAGACCTTCTGCATCTCACTTGTCACTTCTTTCCAGGTTGACAAGGAGACCTAATAAGCCATTTGGGTATGGTATGAACAGTAGCATTGCCGAAATTACTATGCTAATAATTTAGGTTTGTGTGGCATGGGTTCTTCCTGAGACCCACTGATTCCTTGTGGTTATAGTGCATTTTTCTAAATGCTCTCAAAACTGATTGCTCAATTAATCTGTTCAAGAACATGTCCAAATATTGACCTCAAACCATTGTTATTATTATTATTATTCCACCTCTTTTGAAAAGCAGAAGATTCTCCTATTCGCCAGTAGTTTTCAAAACATACACAAACAAGTTCTTTAGCACCAAAGGGTAGATACCACACTGAATGCCTAATTCCTACATAATTTCAAATGGGCCTTCTAATGAGATGCTATATACAGGAGTCCCTAACCTGCAGAACACAGTGACCAGTTGAGTACATAAGGAGTGAGAGTATCTTTCTAATGTATACTTGATTTCATTTAGGGTTTCTCTTTGGGGATAAAATTACCGCCCCGCCCCCGCCCCCCAGTAATAAGAACTGCTGAATTTCAGACTGCTCAGAAGTAAATTAATGCTTACTTCCATGCAATTATATATAGAATTATGAACCCAATGTTACTTTTACTAGAGACTCAGGTGCTTTTCTGATGCCTCTAACTTTGGTGTCTTCTATCAAAATGACTTATGTTAAGAACTTTTTGGTAAAAAAGAAGCTTCCTTCCAAATCGTTCTAATAATAATTATGTTATAATTAACACAATTTGTTAACTTACATTCCATATCCTCTTGTCTTTGTTAAATAATATCACATGTCCTTTTGTAAATAGTAATCAGCAACTTTTGGGTTTCAGATAATTGTTCCACAGTGTCAAATGAGGAATTAATTAATGTGTCAACTCAGTTTTACAATGACCCTAGGCTTATGGAGTAGCTTTGGACCTGCTCTCATCCTGCCAATGGTAAAAAATTAGAATTGGTAATGATAGTCCCAGAAGATCTGGATAAACCAGTATGAGTTAAAAACCACACAGAGATAAGCAAGACATCAAAATAGCTCTCAGAAATTTCCTGCTTACTCAAGGATTATTTTTACAGATGATGCTTTATTTATTATTAAGAATAACTTTCCCTTTGTGAGTTCATACATTATGGCAAAAAAAGGGGGCTGAAAATGTTCATCTCTCAAATGATCTAACTGAAAACAATGGGATAGTAACTGGATTATGGGTTAGGGAAAGCACTGCTAAAATATAAATATAACTCAAGCATCATGTGTAAAATATCAGTTATCTGCATCAGCTCTCTGAGTACCCCAAATTATGAGGCAAATTGGAATGATTCAGGTTCACATGTTTCCAGGTTTGTTTTTTTAGCCAGAACTCACCAGAACTCAGTTCTGGAACCTCTCAGATGGGCGCCATTGCCAGAGGAGGTGTTCATGGTGCGTTCCGGTACCTCTTTTTGTAGAAAAATAGCACTTCATGTTTCTGACTTTGATTTTGCTGTTATGTTAACAAGGCATTTCATTTTGGATCAGGGACTCCGCAAGTTTCTAAGTCATGCTCTGGCTTCAATTGTCCAACTAAGACCTGCAAGTTGCAGTTCAACAATATCAGTTCAATTTCCCCACCCCTGGGGAATGCCTTTCATTTATACTACTGTGATACCAGTGTGAAAATCATTGTACTGGCTTATTAAAATGTCATATTAAAGCCACCTATAATGTGGTATGTATTTATGTTTATGCATCAGAAGTAAACACTGATCCCTCTGAAAGAATAAGTATGATGACAACAAGATATAAGAACAAAACACACTCGAAATATTTATATACCTGCAAGGCATTACCTAGCAAATGGTATATATTTTCTGCTATTAAAAAAAACAACATAAATTACTGAGAGCTATTAAGAAAAACCTGGTTATGGTAATAAGACACTGTAGATGGCAGTTGCCTGCTGGGAAATAGCTATGTCTGAAGGAAGACTGCCAGAGACTCCTAACATAAAAATGATGGTCCAGTGTACTCCAACGCTTCATTTATTTTATTCTACCACATCATGGGAAACTGGCAGAAGGACATGTTGACATCAAGCTGTCTAAAGGGACAATGGAGTGTGCCTCCTGGGGGCAAGTCAAACCACTGAATTGGCAGTGCCAAAATTACCTCACTGGGATGCCACCCTGGGCAGTGTGCTTGGAGGTCCTGGTCTGTCCAGATGACAAGACCCCACTCTCAGCCTCACTGACGTGGTCCAAAGGAAAGCAGTTGCTTGGCTGCAGGAGTTGCTGGAAGGAGGCGTACATCCAACTGTCTTATGGACTGCACTCTGGATTTGTGTATTGTTTACTCCTTAGCCTTTTCTTCTCCCAAAGATATCCCATAAGGCAGCAGAGATTTAGAATCAGAGTTTTCCTTCTCTTAGATGGGCTACCTTCTCAGGTCGATGGGCCCCATCTGCCCTTCACTTCCCTTTTCTTGACTGATGGACCCTCTATGGGTCTTGTCCACTCAGTCCACCAGAGCCTGTCTTCACATGAAGGGGAAGTTCCTAACTCAACAAGTGTTTCAGATCAATTGGCTACCCTCATCTGGTTTAGCCGGCCAGCTGAAGCCATTTTGCATGCTGACAGCTTCTAGGAGCCACGGGAGAGGGCTGAGTGCAGTGTGGGGACCAAAGGTGGACAAACTACCACAGAAGGAGCACAACGTGCTCCCCACCAGAGGTACTACCCCTCTCCTAACATCCCATACACCAAAATAAGTAAAATAAGATGCAAACAATTTAAAAATCACTAAAAATCATATGTTGGTATTCAATGTAACACTAAGAATTTCTGCTTGCCCATTAGAATGATCTTCCCTCTCTACCATCACTGCCCTGGGGTATCCCCAAGCCTTCAGAGTGGGTTTGGGGAGGAGAGTTCAGGGGCATGGGAGGGAGAAGTCCTGTTGCAGAAGCCGGACTTCCACCAGTAGCTGAATCCAGCCCATAAATACCAATAATTACACATTATTTAAAATATATTGGAAGCAGGAAACTGGCTACAAAGGCAGTTGAAGCACGGAATGATAATGGAGTTAAATATGTGCTAAAAGAGGAAAAGGTGATTGCAAAGAAGCTGAAAGGGATCCTTGGGTCTGCCTTCACTGCAGAGAATGTAGAGCAGATTCCAATGTCCTAAACTGAGATATACAAGATATGGAGCCTTAATGAGAAATTTAAAATGAACAGATTACTAGGTCTGCAGGATAGAGTCTGTCTCACAAACCAAAAGGAGAAGAATTATTATGATTGTGCTTCTTTGCCTCTTATCTCAGTTTCTACAAAACTAGAAACTTCCTGTACCTTTTCAAAATAAAAGCTGGGAATCGGGGGGTTATGGTACATCTAGGATGGAGACAATTTGACACACACCTCTTCCCCACTGCAGACTGTCACGGGCAGGGCAGTGTGAAAAAGTTTGATTGGATGTTGCATAGATGCAGAAGAAAAACAATAATGCAACCCAAGTGTCTCTCATAAATGCAGCCAATATAACTTCTTCCCACTTTGGAAAGACAAGCTGTGTTTCCATTTCCCCTGGAATTTCCTAAGGAACGTGAAAGAAGCCTTGCCAACGCATATCACATCCCAGCTTCGCTGAGAAGGTCTACTATGCTCACCACCTGCACATTCCTGAGCAGTATTGTTCAAGCTGTGCTGCTTTGACAAAGGATACCTGGCCTAGCGGAACGCAGCAGCTACCCCCCACTACCTCACAGCAGAATTTTCTGTGTCAGCCTGCAACAACCTGGGCTCTTTGAGACATGTGGCAGCATGTTCAAATCTATGCGCTGTGAGGAAACTAGTTATCTGTTTCCAGTAATTCTCAGTATCGAAGTCGTGTACATCTGGCTCCGTACAGATGTGCAACCCAATGCTGGCATTTTGATAGACTCTAAGATTATTATCTGCAAATGTCAAGAGAGGGGATTTATATTGTGATATTTTGTATTGTTGTAATAATCTTGGCTGCGGTAATGAAGTCAGGATGTGCACTTTGCTGTTCTCCTGTGACCTTTTGCCTCAGAAAAATGAAGCAGTGGAGTTAATGCCGGAAAATATTATCAGCTTTTAACAGATGTGGAAGTGTTTTAAGGGGTTTTCTCCCCTTGCATTTTGGGGATATATATATATATATATATATATATATATATATATATATCCTGATTGCCCATTGCTTCTCTTTTCAGGTTCTTGGGGTTAAATAAACATGGGAGATTGTGTACAGACCACAGTTACTGAATCAGACATTGGAGCTTTTTGGAGGTCAAAAGAGTGTCTGCCTTCAATGTAACAATCAGCACAGTATCTGGGTGACACTCTGTGGCTTACAGTAACTGTTTGCTTTGAGGAGTGAGTGCTTGTCAATTGCACAACACCCTTCTGACCCTATATGGTAAGAGTCTAAGTGGCCATATTTGGAGGACTATAATTGACTAGATATAGACATGCCTCTCAATTGCCCTTCACTGCTGTGACAAGTATACTAAGTTTGATTCCATTTCTCACTGACATCTCTAGTTTCTGCTTTCTGGTATTACTAGGGTTTGGATTTTTATTTTTATTTTTTTACTGTACTATTCCCTGGAAAGCAACAACATCCAGAAATAATTAAAAGATCCAACACCTTCTGAATAATTAAAAGAATGTTTAAAATACTAGAAAATTATAGATGCTTAAAACTTAGTCACAAAGAGCTCAACTCTAGGCATTTTTACTCAGAGTTCAATGAGGCTTACTCCCAGGTAAATGTGTATACCATCATCAACATCATCAGACCACATCATCTGTAGGCCACCCTTCATTAAAAGACCATAGGGTGGTTTATAATATATAACAAAACAATAACATACAAAGCAGTGTTATTTTTCTAGTGGAACTCACCACAAACGCCTCCCTTGTTCTCTTATAATGGCAATGGCGCCCACCTGAGAGGTGCCGGAACTGAGTTCCAGTGTGTTCTGGCTGAGGGGAAAGCCCTGTCGCAAAGGTATATCATTAAACGATGCATATTTTAAAACATTAACATTTAAGCCATAGATTTACCAGAGTACAGCAGCAGATAGTTCAGTAGAAGTAGCAATAGCCACGGTGAATACATGCCTCTTTAGTTGATGACGAAAGCTCAAGAGTCAGGGCCCTTGACAGGAGTTCACAGGCAGGAATTTCTGCAAGCGAGAGTGCACTACAGAAAAGGCCCTATCCCAGGACACCACATAGGCAGTGCTCTTTGGTGGAGCCACCTCTGTGGGTCTCTGTGATGGTACACTATAGTTCCCATGATTCTTTGGGAAGGCCACATGCTTTAAATGTATGGCGTGGTCAAGACTTGTTCCAAGGGAATTCGGAAAATCCTGCAGCAGAAGCGGTTATCTTGCCAGTAGAAGTGAGTATCTTGACAACACTACAGGAGATATACACCAAATTGGGCTTTGTGCCCAAGATGAGGGGGGAGAATGAAATAATGGGGACAGCAGGCACTTTGTGGGATGTTTTATACTTTCAGGCTGGTTGTTTCAGAGATAATTTTTTTTCATAGAGCTGCTGTCAGCTCTTTGGGGGAGTTTGCTTTTGAGATGTGCAAAGCACATCCCCTCCAAGCTCGCAAAAACACCTTGTTGTCTGCCCCTTAGGCACATCTGGCAGCGAGACTGTTGCTGCTGACATGAGCGTTCAGGTCTGATCCCACTGCTCCCAGGATGAAACAGTTCGGCAAAACTGATATGCAAGAGCAGGACTCGGCTTGAAGCAGGAGGAAGAATTGTCTTTTGCCCTGTGAAATATTCCTGTGAAACTGAGGCGATAGTGGGGGGGGGGGGAGAGAGACAAGAAAGTGGTGGAGAGGAAAGGAAAGGAAGAATTGGATTTTACAGCGCCGTGCCATTTTTGTCCTTCATTTTTCTGTTTGACAGAAGCTGTAAATATATAAGATAAAAGTAGTCATCCACACTCTTAAAATTTGTCCCGAAAGGTCAAGTCAGTTCACAGTCCTTTTATATGGCTCTCATTACTTTTTCTAGATTCTCAGGTATAATTTGCTTCAATAAAGAAAAATGTTCCTCTCTTGCTTTTATCCTTCTGCAGAAAACGGTGCTCCCAAATCCAAAAATTACTGCTCAAACATGGGAAATTTGGGAGGTTGCAATTTAGGGTATTAGAAAGAAATACTAATGGGATGAATATCCTAAATTGTACAAACTCCACACACACTTATGCAAACACACGTGTATGTGTGTGTGAGGGAGAGGCACAGAGAGAATGATTTTTTTAAAGCATTAACCAATACTACAGACAAGTTTGCTCTGAATCTAGGATGCAATTAATCACTAAAACCATGCATTTAATCCAGAGACTAATAAGAGAGAGGTATTAAATTCAGAAACACTTGAGAAATCAAGTTTGACCTCTTTCCAAAAGCAACAAGAATTAAAATATTTGGAAGTCAAGCTTGATGCTTCAGTACTGAGCGATTTAAAAGCTGAAAGATGCATTATTAGAGGCAGGAAAGAAAATGAATTTATGTCACATTATTCCCCCCCCTTTTGCTTTCCTTCATTCTCCCCACCTCCCTTCTTCTACCGTCACTTCAATCTCTCGCCTTTTAGCAGTCCTGCACGCTCGCACGTACCAGACATCCCTTTAAGGCAGTGTGCAATTCCCTTACCTATTTTGACAAGAAATGCACATTGCAGCTACATGCCACAGGCCATGGTTGCACAAAAGTCACAGGTCAATAAAGATCACTTACCTTCCCTGGGAGTCTTTTCATGGGACTTTCCTCCATTGGAATGGCTGGGGGGGAAGGGGGGGGAATCAAAAAGGAAAGGAGGAAATGTCAGAGGGGCCCTTTATGAAACACTTAAAAAAACCAACCCCAAACTCCGAATGAGTTGCCCCCTCACCTCATGTTACCTTGCCTGAGGGAAAGTGGCCTCTTCTCCCACCTCCAAGGAGCTCTCCAACCTTTCAAGAAGTTCGTTGCTGACTTGTCTCCCTCCCTTGATGATTTACAAGAAAGTAAAAGAGATTAGTCAGTACTCTTCATAAAGTACTCTTTACAAAGAAGCCAATAAAATGATCTACATCATATCACAGTTCAACATATCTGACATCTGTTCTGTAATAAAATTCACTTCATGCATATGCCTCTTCTGACTCATACATATGCTTCCCACTAGCGCACCCTGACTGCTCTTCTGAGACAGGTTTCTTGATGTAGCCATAGTGCGGTATTAGAAAGTGATGTTCCCTTTCGGCTCACCAGCACGCTCCAGTTATCCACATAAGCTGATTTTTAAAAAATATATTTAAGCTGGGGAAAATATCTCCACTTATAAAACTAGATTGCGGCCATGATTGCTTCTTCACTTACTTTTTTTAAAACAAACAAACAAATCCAATGCTGACAATTTGCTCTATAAGCTATTTCTGCTACTAGAGCAAAATGAAACCTGGCTGTTTCTATTACGGTGCCTCAACTTACACAAAAAGTAAAAGTATCAAATGAATATGTGTCATACATTTATGCCTAGATGAGGCCAGGGAGGTGGACATCTGGTCAGGATGGTATAAGCTGCAGGTACAACCACTCGTCTTGATAACTGAACATGGCAGACATTGTACAAATGCTGACACCCCCTCACTGCTATCACTGTGTGCTATGTAGTGGTGGTAATAAGGGGGGTGCCAGGATTTATTTTGCAAGTGAGCCCATTCTTCTGTTCATTCTCCACTATAATTATCCTGGACAGAGATACTAGCTAAGTGATGCTAGCTGAGGCCCAAATCTTACAGGTATTTGGGAAACAAAATCACAATTTAAGTAACTCAACATTTCAGAGTTATTCTATATTCCTTTCCTCTTCCAATGCCAGTTCTTGGGATGAGTGGCCTTTTTGAGTACATCCCATCCTGGACCCAAAGCCAGAAAACAGTAAACAACTTTGCTTTAGGCTTCTTGAAGTTTTTTTTTCTTTCTTTTCTTGCTTCCTCAAAGATCATAAGGTCATTTCTGATTCCATCTCTGGATTCCATCACCAAACAAGGTGGAGTGGGTGGCTAATGTGGAGATGGCCTTTTCAGTGGTGGCACCCTCATTATGGAATTTCTTACTAACAAAGGCCCACATGAGGCCCACTATGTGGTCTTTTCACTGCCATGTAAATAATTTTCAGTTTTGCCAGGCCTTTACGTCTTAAACGCTATTAGTGACCTACAGATTTGATTTGCTTCTGTTGGATATCTTTGATGTTCAAGATTGATGAAACTTTGCTATATGGTTTTTGTCACCTTTGCCTTGTCATTAAATGATACAATGACACATAGTTACAAGTGCATGTGCCAGTCCTGAAGAAAGCCGGCCCTCTTAATTTTGTTATTCCCCAAAATCTTGGAGAAAACAAGCAGACACATAGAGAACACCATTGTGTAGAATGATTGATATTTGTGTGTGTGTGTGTGTGTGTGTGTGTGTGTGTGTAACTCTTCCACCTTGGTATAAAAATACTAAATCAGAATTCTGAACAGTTCCTGCTAATACAGCTTTCATAAAATTGATTTTTTTTTGGGGGGGGCAGGAAGTTTCCATTAAAGTTTCCATTAAATGGTATGTGGTGGATAAACAAAAAACTTTACTAAAATGTTTTGATTCATTTTTTAGAAACCCTTTCTAAAAAAATAAAAAAAGAGCAAGGGGTCATCTTTGTGCATTCTTTGACAATTTTCAGTACATTTTGCCTCCTCAGCAGTCAATGTCTAGCAAGATATCAGCTAAATGCAAACAGCAGACACAGGGAATACACTTGACACCCTGATTGCTCTTAAAAGACAAAGATTCAGTAAGAAACTATCCAGGACTACTATGAATGTGGGAATGGAAATGTTTTAATCATGCACCCAGCTCTAATAA